TCTTGCAAGAAAGTTCAATGAAAAGCACATGAAGGCTTTTCCTTTCCCTTTTTCTCTTTCATACCACTTAAAATTTAAATATTTTTTCTAGAAAGAAATGTGATAAAGTATTTTAATAAATATACCACTGATTTTATGGTGAACTTAATACTTCTTATATTCTCCATATATCCATTTAAATTCCTGTTCTGCTGTGCTTATGATCTGTTCTTATTTCAGCCTTCAGACATAAGCCATGATTCTTAAAGTAATAATTGTTAAATACTGGTCTCGAGTTATAACAAAATAGGAACTTCAAAACACTCTGCCCTTGATCTTTAGGAAAAGTTAAAAAGCTTTGAGAATAAATCTGCATGCCAGTATCAGAGGGATGCCATTTTCATAAAAGCAATTTATACCAGTGTGCTTAACCTAGTATTAAGGTAGTCTTGATTTCCTCTTTAAATCTAATGTTCCTAATTATCAGTAATTAAAACAAATTTTGGGATATAGCTCTTATTAAACAAGACAAATGCTGCATGAAATGTAGTGTGACTTTTCCCTTACTGCTTTGTCAGGAGATTTCTCCAGAGACATGTATTTCTTTCCAAAGCTTTCTATGTCTTTAAAGAGCTCAGTAAGAATAGTTTCTTCCTGGTGTAACTCTCAGCTTGTACATTCAAAAAGAGGATTTATAATGTACTATAGACTGCAAGATATTGCAGTGTGAGTTAAATAACAAAAAAGAATTTTTACTGTAGAAAGATAAATCATACTCTCTTGAGAAGACTACTTTAAATGCAGGAAGAATTTTATGTGTGGCAATAATTTGAGATTTTATTTCACTAATTATGCTCAGAATGTTTATATATCAATGTTTCAGAACTCATCTGATATAAAATGTCCTAGTAGAATATTCACATTGGACCAGGATTGGACAATTTCCCACAGTATGGGATGGGAAAAGTATGTTTGAATTTCATCATTGCATTCCTAGGATCAATGTTTAATTTTGGGTTCCTGCTTAAACCTCAGACCAATAAAAGTAGCTAGTGTGTCCAGCAGCATATCCAGGCCTTTCTCCTATTTCTTTCCTTTAAGTCATTGTCACCAAGTTAGTGTGGTGATTTAATAAAAGAAAAACAATAATGAAAGCAATGTGAATTACCTTAATCAGAAATGGCATAAAGGATTATAAAAGAACACTTGTATAATACCCAGGATGGGCTTTCAACTCCAGAATCTTACAGAAATTATGTAATGATTGATGTTCTTGAATGGGAGGAAATAGATCTGGGAAGAAGAATAAACTTTCACATCCTGTGCTTATTTGTGCATACTATTTCCTTGATATAGTTTGCCAAAACAGAAAAGTAAACATAATTAGCAAAAACAAAAATACGAACTCAGTACCTAGAACCTTGTAAAAGACTGACAAATCAATGCACCATATATATAAAGACAGCATTCACTGCATACATTTGAAAAGATGTGAGGTTCAACTTGTTTCCTTTGCCACTGATTTCAATCACAAGAATTTGTTTTTCCAGTGATGGAATGTGGTGGGCCAGCACACCCAGCCTCCAAGCCAGCCCTGACCTCTGAATCTCCAACATACCTGAGAGATGTAATATTTCCTGCCATATCTTTAGGCAAGGACGTCACAGTCACCAGCAATTGTAGCCACCATAGATGGTGAGCTGGTGAGCCCTAAGGGCACTTAGGAAGGAGATGAATGCCCGCTATCAGACTGCAGCCACTGCCTACAGTGAGTGCCAAGCCAGCTCAGGATGTGAAAAACATAGGATTCTGGCCCCAGAATAGCTGCAATGCATATCACAGGAATGTTTTCAGTGAGCCCAGTCTCCTACATCTTCTCACACAGAAAAAGGGCTAAATTCCTTAACTTGAGATACCTGGTTTTCTTTAGCAATAATCTTTTGATGTTAAGACCACCTACCCTTTGTTACAAAACTTCTATATCACCTGGCTCTTTCTCTCCTGTCCTGGAAGCATTTCTCTCAGGGTTACTTGAGGTGCTAGCTCTTGGTTTTGAGGCCCTAAAATTTTGCACCAAATAAAACAGAACTCTCAATTTTTAGGTTGTGAATATTGTTAAAGTCTGCAACCCTTTCCCACTAGCCTTGCTTACTGCATTTTTAAATACCAGAAAATCCTAACTTCAGTATCATATAGTTTTACCTTTCCTTGTGAAGTGAAAACTTTAAATAAATAACAGTATTGCCATTAAAAAGGGAACATGAATAACATGATGACATTTATGAAAATAAAAAAGCATATGCATAATTACTTATGGAAACACACAGGAAAATGGCTAAAAGAGCATATAGAAACAAGGGCATATCCTTAGGAAGGAAGTGAAACCTAATGGGATGAAATGGAATTTCAGTTTTTTTGTCTTAAATATTTTGTGAGTTAAAACATACGGAGTTTTCAGTTTTAAGTACATAAAGCAATGACTTCCCTGGTTGTCCAGTGGTTATGACTCTGTGCTTCCAATGCTAGGGACTCAGGTTTGATCCCTGGTGAGGTAACTAAAATCCCACATGCTGTGAGGTGTGGTCAAAAAGAAAAAAAAAATGTATATAAAGCAAATGGTAAGCAAAATGAAGTGCCCTAAAAGTAAGACTAATTACAAAAATTTAATTAGAAAATTTGGTGTAAACATCAGAAACATTGAAAGTATACCATGTTTATTTAAATATGTAGTTATGATTTTTGTTCTGTAAAAGAAATCCGGCCTCTGGTGGCCGTCCGGTCTGGGGGCTCCGGGCGCTTAGGGGAAGCCCCTCCTCCCTCCCCCTAGAAAGCCCTGGAGGCCCAGGGCGGAGGCTTCGCCGTTTCGCTGTGATATAACCTCAACTGACAGTCCTGTCAACCGCTCTGATCTTCCTCATAGCTCAGTGTCCCTTAACATCTTCTAAGATGGAGCTTACAGGGGTCTGGGTGTCTCCTCGCAGAGCCCGGCGCACCAGCACCCTGGGTCCACAGAGAACCCCAGGCAGAGGAGGAACCCGACGCACCCCCCAGCCGGCCGGCCCAGCCGACTTCCAGGCGGGGTTAGGCTGGGAAGGGGCACCAGAAAATCATTAAAGCAAACCTGTAGGGAGAGCAGTGCCCCGCCCGCCGGAGTCGAGGAGAGCCGCTTCTCCCGAGCGCGCGACGCGCAAAGAGCCACCAGGAGTTCTTTCGGCCAGACTGCTTGGTCTGGAGAATGAGCGCTCCCTCAGCGCGCCGGGCGCCCGAGACTCTGCAGAAGGCCACTCCATCGAGCCCTGCGCGCTTGGCGCGCTTCCCACGGCCGGAGAGCCCGGGACTTCTGCCCGCCACTCGCCTCCTTCGGGCAGGCTCTGCAAGGCAGACCCGGGCCTCTCGCCTGCGGGTGCGATTGCTTCCAGGGAACAACCACAACAAAAAATGACCCAATAGCAGCTGCGCTTGCCCCTGCCTTTCCTCTTCTGGGCTTTTTCTAGGAGCGCAGAAACCTGGCCAACAGACCGCTTCGGAAGGCAGAGGGCGGCGCTGGCGCGGCAAAGGCAGAGTTGTTTGGCTGTTAGGTTTTCTTTCTTAAACCTTGGCAGCCATTTGGCTCAAGGACACACTGGCCACATTCTTCTGGGAGATGCAGGATGGTTGGATCCCCTCCGCCCCCGACTTCTCCTGGAGACCCTCTGGAGCTTTTCTTGCCCTCCCCCAGTTTTGGATCCTACTCCAAACACCTTTGATACCCTTCCAGTTTCTTATTTAAGTATCAATTTCCTTAGAACTGCTAACTTCATTGATAGGAAAGATCTGATACTTAAGAGTTAGACGTACTGAGGTGGTAGTGGCTGGGTTCTGAAACCCCTTAATATTTGCATTTTAAAACAGGATCTAGATAACCTCCAGGAATCTCTCCAGTCATCTAAAACGGGGTGATATTGCAGGCAGGGTAGGGCCTAGAGGACTTTCATTACATCATCCAGAGAACTCTCTCTAGCGCGGGCAGCTTCTTTGGAGAGATCCCAGACTGCCAAGGCCCGGGAAACTTGGAGAGCGGTGGCGCCAGGACTGCCCTGGAGGACTCGTTTGCTTGTTTGTTTCTTTGTTTCGGCTCTTCCCCAGATCAGGCCTTGCCACCATTGTCCAAGCGGACAATGAATTTCAAGTCATTTGAATTTAAATATCCGGTAACTCACAAGATTCCTGTTAAGAACTCTCACCTTTTTACTGGGCTCACTGTACCTGTGTAGAAGTGTTAAAAGAGGAAGACAGAGGCAGAGGGGCCCACTAAATTTGGGTTCAGGAGACACTGGGGCCGGTGCTTCCCGCCTCCGCCGAGGGGCGCGCGCACCTAGGCTGTGGCCCTGCCCTGGCCTCGGAGACCTCGCAGACCCAGGAGCACTACTGGGGCTGATTTCTTTCTTGGCGCTATGGGACGAGACTTGTCTTGGAGCCAGAAACGCTAGTGCAGGGCCGCCGCAGAGTAATGAAGAAACAAAGTTATGTTGGGGGAGGGTGTGGGCCGCTAGAAATCCTGGGGCGTCCACACCAAACCCGAGACTTGCGGTCACCTTGCCTGAATCTCGGCTCTGTGTGCGCCTGGGGCCGGCAGCTTGGTAGTGTCCGCCGTGGCACTGGGAGGGGACCGAAGGAGAAAAGAGGGAGCTTCGACACCCCGTTCTCGTCCAGCCCCCTGACCTGCGTCCAGCGGAGCGTCACTCGTGAACTCCTCGCCTGTCCCTGGGGCCCGGGTGTGACTTGTGCTCTCGGAAAGCGGGAAGAGCCCCAGGCTCGGGGCGTTCTTGGGCAGCCTCCCTGATTCTCCGCCCTCTCTGCTCTCATCTCTGCTCTGGGCATCCTCTCTGACCCCTCAAAGGCCCCAAGAGTTTGGTACTAGTTGGGAAAGGGAGCAGGTGCCTAGGCCGGATAGAGACCGAAAGGAGTCCACGAGCTTCCTCTTTGCTGCCAAGTGGACGAGTTGCGCTACTCTGGCAGCCGGTGGCCGTTTCCAAACTTTTTCACTCTTGGGCTGGGAGAAGCAATGCATTCGGGATCCCCGCCTTCGAGGCAGGAACTCGGAAAACTCTGCCGGCCTGCCGGGTTCCACTCGGCCTGAAGTTGGGAGGCGACCCCACGGACGCTTGCGGGACGATCCACCGCACTTGAGTGCAGGTCCTCCTTGCACCTCCAGGGCTCCGCGCCGCCCGCCGCTCCCTGCCTCTCCTAGGTGTTTCAGGGTCGGGCCGCACCTCGGAGCCCCGAGGCTCTGCGGGCGCTAATAGGCGGTGAGAAGGAGGGGAGGTGGATGTGAGGCGCGTGCCTGGTGCCGCGGGAGAGCTGGCGCGGCGCACCCTCCTAGCTGGCAGAGGGCGGAGATCTCGGAGTCCCGAGTGCCGCTTAGCTGCTCCCGACTTCCTGCAGCCGGGCCAAGCCCCCGCGGGCTCTCCGGGCGCCTCACCCGGGACCGAGGGAGGAGGGAGGGGAGAGGGAGGGAGCCGGCGGCCGAGGCGCACGCCTCCAGTCCGCGTTAGCCCGGCACCCCCGTGGCGCGGCGAGTCAATGGGATTTGCACACTCGAGGTGTAACAGCATTACTGCATTAATTACCGTTTCCATTTCACGTCCAGATTGTTTACTTATCTGCGGGAAACATATGTCGGGAGAAGTTCACATTCCGGATTCTGCTCCACTGCCCAAGGTGCAATTCCGGGGAGGCGGCGAGGGGGAGGGGAGGGCTTCAGATTTGTTATTACACCCTCTAGCCTTATCTGCCGCTGTAAATTATGAGGATCCTCCACTGAGCGGCATATGGAGATTATATACTTTTTTGAATATCGTTTCCCAAAGCCTGCAGATTTTCACTTTGAAATGAAACAATCCTCCGCCGGCTCCCCCGGGGTCTGGAGCCTGCTGCGCTCCTCTGCGCGACCCGGGGGACCCTTTTTGCTGGGCCAGGCTCACACCCATGTCCCCAGTGCCGCGCGGCCAGCGCCCAGAGGAGCCCTGTTTCCAGAATCTGAAATAATTTCTCTAGGAAAACCCATTCGTACGAGTGTTCGAGAACCCACGCGGCGCTCTGCTCTGTTTTCCGCACCTCAACCCCGGACTTCTGCGTAGTTTGCAGCTTTTTCATTTCGGATACCCGCGTAGACGCGAGCCCACTTCTGCCCTCTTCCTACGCTGGGCGGCTCCAACCCCGAGGCGAGGGTCGAGGTGTCCACGCCCGCCCACTGCAGCCTCCCTTGCGCTCGAGCATTTAAAAGGTTCCCCAAGGCTTTGGTCTTGGGACAACACCGGCTTGAGACCGCTTCTTGTAAACTCCGAACGGAAATCCTGCGTTGAAGGCAACTGCTTCCCAATCCCGGGAGAAGCAGGACGGACCAGAGCAGCGCAACCGAATCCCATCTTTCTTATCTCCCCGAGACTCCTTTCAGGCTGAGATCAGAGAGGGAGGGAAAGGGAAGAGAGAATCATTGTTCTTCTTTTTTTCATTTAATATACCAAGCCACCCGTTCAGGTCATTTATAAGCTTAATTTAGTGATAAAAGTCAATAAGCACAATCACAGGATTCTCTCCTCTTTCAGTTTCTTTTGACCACATTTTTTTTCACAGTAATTGGAAAACCAGTAAAACATATATGCCCCTGATTTCCACCCTCCTCCTTGTTCAATGCTTTGTCTGAAATGCAATTGTAAGAAATGTGCTTTTGTCATTTGTTTGCTTTTTCTTTAGAACATAAGGGGGAAAATATATCTCTTATGTGGTTATTTTTTATCTTGTTTGGGTTCGATTTGCAGGATTACACACATCCCGTTTATAGACTCCCACTCTCAAAAACAAAATCAGAAATTTCCTTGATTTTTATGATTCTAAATATTCCTTGGGAATATATTGTGATGTTACAGCAGAAACAATTAAATGGACCAAAGTAATGCAATTAAGGGAGAGAAAAAAATAAGTCGGTAGAATGTGGAAATAAACAGATTCTTTTCCACTAAGTATTGTTTTGGGATTTCTAATTTTTTTCTTTGAGACTTCTAAGAAAATTGTGAGGTGTCACTTCTCTCTTCTGAATCTATCTGTAATTGAATCTAGGTCACTATTCTAAAGCAAGGAAAGTCTGCTTCCCACTTTCTTACATCAGGCTGAAATTTGGGGAGGGACAAGGGTCTGGCAATTTCATTTAAAATGTAATGGTGGATGAACTGATTAGCAAATAGGGAAAAAAGAGTCTGCTTAAAAGAGAAAAAAAGGGAGGGGGGGACATGGTTTTAATATGCTCCAGATGGGGGGAAAATGATTTACATGAGAGTTTATTTTCTCTTTGCTGATATGAAAGAATTACAGATACAAAACCCACTGATCTATAGAATAAAAAAAGAAAAGAAATGTTAAAAAAAAAGAAATCCAAAGACTTGCCATATAGTGTTTGACTTTTTTTATCTCTCATGTATATGTGTAGGCATTATATCTAAATGAAACAAATTCAGTGTCTATGAATTACATCTGTTACAAATTCCACAAATTCCTTAATATTAAAACTCAAAAACAATATGAAAAGAGCTTTACAAATCAACCAGAACACTGATTTTAATGCTGCCCTACTAAAATATTTAAAAATAATGACCTGAACCTTTTTTGTAAAGTCTAGCTTTCTAGGTCTCTTGCTGAAAGAATACCCCTCTTACTTTACTATTGAGAACATTAAAATCCCCAGGAAAATGGGAGAGATGCTATTACCACATATAATATGATAAGGGGATTTTTGTTCCTTTTAGAGAAAGTCTTCTGACGTTTTTTCTCTTGTCCAGTTATATATATATATATATATATATAGTATATATATATATACATATGTATATATATATATATATGCTAAGGGTATTTGACTTGTTACTTGTCTGTTACCAAGTGCTATACTACTGAATGAGTCCCTGGTGTCACTTACTTTTCTGTGTGAGGAAGCTGAGCAAAAATTCTCTCACTAAGGCCAAACTATTTCTTTCTTTTTTTTTTTTACTTTAAGGATAGTTTTGTTTATTTATTTTTTTCATTTATTTTTATTAGTTGGAGGCTATTTATTTCTATGCATGGTAGATTCTAGGAGCAAAGATAGCAAGCTGTATTTTAAAATTAAATCAAATAAGTACCTCTAAAATATATAAATATATGTATAGATACATCTGTACATCTTAAGATAGATCAGAATATTCATGTATATCTCACCATTTCTATATCTACATCTAAATCTGTTTACTTCCTTGTATCTCCTGAAGAGGAAAAGGCCACTGAATGTAGACATTAACAGTTATTGTTCACTTGACTTACTATCAGCAAGTTAGTAAAGGCCTCCTGTCTCTCAAAGTACCTAATCTTATTGACTGGACAAAGCCAAAAAATTTTCCTTTGGGTCTAAACTCATCTAATGAAAGCATTTTTTAACTCAATACAAAAATATACACATACACATACATGAACACACAGCTGTTTTTAGTTTTGTTTGTTTTGTTTTGTTTTTAGGCCAGTCTTTTAGTGTAAATAGTTTCACATTTTATTTAAAACTTAAAGCAGAAAAATGAATCCAGTGTTCATAAATATAAGAAATAGCATCGTGAATGTGCAAAAAGAAAAAAAGTTTGTAATATCAGAGGTCCCGAGGCACCGTTTGCATTTTTTGTAAACATTTATTCTCTTACAAATTTTTAAGTTTGCTCTAAATATTTAAGGTTTAGATTTATCAATGAAGAGAAGTCCAACATTGCTGTAGCTTGATGATGATGGTCAATTTTGCAATCTTTTACACTACTGCTATATTTTGCCTTTTCCCAGAAGATTAACAAGGGATTTTGCAAGAAGCATTTATATTTTAATTTAAAAATGACACACAGGTACAAAAATGGAAATACAGATCAACGGAACAAGATAGAAAGCCCAGAAATAAACCCATGCACATACATTCAAGTAATCTACAACAAAGGAGTTAAGAATATACAATGAACAAAAAAATCTCCTCAATAAATGATGCTGGGAAGCTAGATAACTATATGGAAAACAATGAAATTAAAACATTTTCTAACAACACACACACATATATAAACTCAAAATGAATTAAAGGCCTAAATTTAAGGCTGGATACTGTAAATCTCCTAGAGGAAAAGATACACAGAATCTCTTTGATATAAATCACAGCGATATCTTTATGAATGTGACTCCCAGAGTAACGGAAATAAAAAATAAACAAATCGGATCTAGTTAAACTTAAAAATTCCTGCTCAGCAAAGGAAACTGAACACAAACTGAAAAGACAACCTACAGAATGGGGAAAATATTTGCAAATGATGTGATTAATCTCCAGGGATTAATCTCTAAACTATAAAACAGCGTATGCATCTTGATATAAAAATTAAAAATCAAAACAACAACTCAACCCAAACATGGGTAGAAGATCTAAATAAGCATTTCTCTGAAGAAGACATACAGCTGATCAACAGACACATGAAAAGATGCCCGACTCTTTGTGACCCCATGGACTGTGGCCCACCAGGCTCCTCCATCCATGGGATTCTCCAGGCAAGAACACTGGAGTGGGTTGCCATTTCCTTCTCCAGGGGATCTTCCCAAACCAGGGATTGAACCTGGGTCTCCCGCATTGTAGGCAGGTGCTTTACCATTTGAGCCACCAGGGAAGTCCCTCTAATTATTAGAGAAATGCAAATCAAAACTATAATGAGATACCACCTCACACCAGTCCAAATGACCCTTATCAAAAAATGTACAAGTAATAAAGGCTGGAAAGTGTGTGGAGCAAAGAGAACCCTCTTCAACTGTTGGTGGGAATGTAAATTGCTACAACCAGCATGGAGAACAGTAAGGAGGTTCTTTACAAGACTAAAAAGAGAGCTACCATATGACTTAGAAATATCTCTCCTGGGCATAAATCCAGAGAAAACCATAACTTACAAAGATACAGGCATCCCAATATTCAGTGCAACAATTTTACAACAGCTGAGATATGGAAGCAAACTAAATGTCCATCAACAGAGGAATGGATAAAGAAGAGGTGGTACATGTATACAAGGGCATATTATTCAGTCATAAAAAAGGAATGAAATAATGACCTTTACAGCAACATAGATGGATCTAGACATTATCATACTAAGTGAAGTAAGCCAGACAAAGACAAGCATCATATGGTATTGCTTATATGTTGATTCTTAGAGAAAAAAAAGAGAGATACAAATGAACTTACATACAAAACAAAAGAAACTGAAAGACATGGAAAACAACCTTATTGTTACCAGAGGGAAAAGCAGGGGGAATAAATTAGGAGTTTGGGATTAAAATGTACACACTGCTATATATAAAATATACAGCTGACAAAGGCCTATAGTATAGCTCCAGGAATTATAGTCAATATCCTCTCAGGGAAAAGAATCTGAAATAAATGGAGGTGTGTGTGTGTGTGTGTGTGTGTGTGTTTAGTTGTTAATTCGTGTCTGATTCGTTGCAACCGCATGGACTGCAGCCCCACCAGGGTCCTCTGTCCGTGGGATTTCCCAGGCAAGAATACTGGATCGGGTTGCCATTTCCATCTCCAGGGCACCTTCCCACCCAGGGCTTGAACCCGCACCCCCTGCAC